TCAGTACAATATTTTATAACTGTAATAATTCTACTGTAAACCTAAAAATTTACAGCCAATTTTGAAAGAGATGCACCTTAGCTCAGGAAATTGTTATTGAATATGCCAATGCTGTTGTAATTAAATGATTCTTCTAAGTATGTGGTTATTAAATAAATAATTTTTAAAAAACCCTCAGGTCAAGTCATTTCACATAGCTTCAAGTGCTAGAAAGTTCATGCTCCTAAGCAAAGGAATGACTGGTAGAAAGGAGAGGCTCACTTCTCATAAAAACAGCAAAGGAGCTCCTTGAAGAACTGTCATTGCTGGTGAGGAGAGGGGGGAAAGCATTCCAAAGTCTCTAGTGGTCAGTATTCAACACCAAAGGTCAAAGTGGCCTGAGACAGCACTGGAGATTCAACTGTGCAAATGACTGGCTGAGCTTAACCTCAAACTTTTACCATTATTTCGACAAAATAAAATTAGTAAAATTGAATTTAAATGATGTAGGTAACCCAACTTTTTGTTTTCCTTTTATTAAAGCAATTTCATAATAGATTTGTAATACATCATAGTTGAAGATCAGTTCTATGATGTAATTTCCTGGAGAGCTTCCAACTGCCTTCATCATGAATGGTCCATGTTAAGAAAAACACTTTCATGAACTCAAGGTCTGAACTGTTTATCATGGCAACATTCCAAAGAATCGCAAGTCAAGGGGAAGATTGGAAGGCAAATTAAAGGAAACACTACAGTGCTTAATAGTCATTTTAATATACTTTTGATTTTAGAAAAATATCCATCTCAAGGTTGCTTCTATGATCATTTTATGCACAGTAAAATCTGTGTCCAACCCAAAGGAAGCACAACCCTTTATTATTGCGTTATTGACTGATTTGATATGAAGTAATGTTCAGACTTAATTGCCTTCCTCCGAGAAAGCCCTAGGGGAACAGCAGTCCTGAGTCTATTCATCTCAAGAAACTGAAAACTATAGATAGAAATTTTGATCTTTGCCTTGAAATGTGATTAGCTGGCTCAAAAAGGACTGAAACTTGTTTCTAAAGTGTGAGAATACTAACCTTCAAGTTTTCACAAAACACAAAGCAAGATCTGACATATGCCCATATTTGATAAAACATGCCTCAAGTAAATGTACTTTCCTTGAGAAAGATTTGCTGGGATCATCTGTCCAGCGCGCCAAGAAGTGTCACGTGATTCACTCAGGTCCTCTTAACCAAGCAGGGCTTTGGACAGCAGAGGAGCAGGCTTCTTTCAAATACTGCTCAACAACTAAGAAATATTTTCTTGCTGCAACAGCTTGGCCCATTTTGATCTCAGTAAGCTGAAACACTGCCCCATATCCTTTTTCTACTTTAAAGGAATATGGCGAGAAGACCTAGTGAAATTAACTCACCTATAGGTGCCCCCAGAGGCACTCAGTCTGTGGGGTTCCCAAGATGCCTGGGCGTGCTCATCAGAGTGCTCACCATCAGAGGAAGCCTGCTCCCTAGGACACGTGCAGGCAACTGTCCCGGTGTAAGGACATTTCCCCCAGACCTGTCTTTCACATAAGCAAAGAATTCATTTTAGTGGGATAGTCTCAAGAAAAAAACAACGTGGGCTCTACCCCACACCTACATAGAAACCTATTTCCACATGGGGCTGCCTTTTTTTTTTTTTTTTTTTAAGAAGTTTAAAATATGACAGGGGCTTTTCACAAATTTGACTACCTCCACTTCCAAACCAGAGCAGGATCCACTTTCCTTAGCTCTCAGGAGCACCGCCCAGAGCATCCCGTTCCAGACTCATCCTAGTATCAGACTGACAGCCTTGCAGGTTGTTGGTTCATCCAGAGGAGCATGTGGTTCATCCGCGGAACAAATGCAAGTGACTATTGTTTGGATGGCACACCCATTTCCCACCACCACGTCCGCAGGCCTCCTTAAAGACCTCAGGTCCTCCTTGAGCTGGGACGATCATCACCCAAAACCTCTCACTTTTAGGCTTTTAATTATTTACACTGCAGTCTTAAGAGGCCTGTTAACCCAAAAGATAGTAACAAGTGAAAATGTTGATTCCGACCTGGGTACCAGACCACAGTCTGCAAAAGGGCCAGCCAGAACACTCCAGCTGGGGCTGCAGGCAGGCATTGTGCCCGGGCTGGGCAACCAGGAGTGGGCAGGGGCGGCCAGGGGTTGGCAGGGGTGAGCAGGGATGGGTAGGCGTGGCCAGGGGTGGCCAGGAGTGGGCTGGGTGAGTAGAGGTGGGAAGGATTGGCTAGGGTCGGCCAGGGGCGGGCAGGGGTGGGCAGAGGTGCCTAGGAGCGGCCATAGGTGGGCAGGGATTGGCAGGAGCGGCCAGAGGTGGCCAGGGGTGGCCAGGAGTGGCCAGGAGCGGCCCAGCCACAGGCCACAGCCCCCTGGGCTTGGATACATCCCTGGCGCCAGGCCCGGAAGCCGCCCAGAGGTTGCCATGGTCGCTCTGTATGGCGAGGCTGCGTGTACATCCAGCGCGCCGCACCCCAGGAGCCAATCTGTGGCCAGCTGAGCCGTTGCCTTGACTACCCTGTGTGTTAGGGCCCAGTACGCATGCGCAGAGCCGCTGCGGCTGCTCAAAGCTGCCCAACCAAGCTTGGAGCTGGGGAAGGAACAACCCCTGAGCTCCAGGAGACACCCAGTCTCTGAGACCCAATTCTAGGAGGACCTGCCATGAACCGAAAGAAGCTGCAGAAGTTGACGGACACCCTAACTAAAGGTTGCAAGCATTGTAAGTAAGAGTGGAGTGCTAGAGGATGGATGACTTCCGGGCCAGGCCTGCTGACCTCCTGCTGCATCCTGCCTCCACTATCAAGTTTCGGAAGATGAAGGTCCCTCCACCCTACTCCTTAAAGAACAACTTCCGCCCCCAGGATGCTAGTTCCTTCGAGGGCATCCAGTCCCAAGATCTTCAGAGCTCAGGGTATACGGTGCTGCCTACCCTAAGACACATGCACCTCTGGATTCACAGACCCTCTGCTTTACTTTTATATTACCGAAGGGAAGTCTGTGTCTGGGAGGCATGTGACTGGGCTTCAGATCGTTTGAAAAAGAACTGTTAAAACCCACCAGACTCAAGACCGTAGCAGAACCAGTGCACAGCTCCTCAGCCTACTTTCTAGAGCAAAAATATCTCGTGAGGTCTGAGTTCTGTAAGTCTACTAAGAGCTAGGTGAGGGAAAATAGTCACCTATTCCCGATCCTCTTTAGGAAACATGAGTTGAAGTGCTACAGAAGCGTGTGTCTAGGTTTGGAAAATGCATTGCTCAACAAACCCAAGATGGCAGGGAACTTGGCCCCAGCTTCAAGCATTCATTTCCCAGTTGTTGGCAGGGGCGGAAGGTAAAGGAGATTTTGCAGGTGACCTGATGAGTACTTACTTAAAAAGATGTGCCAGGGCGTCTTAATCCCAGCACTTGGGAGCACAGGCATCTAGATTTCTGTGAGATAGAGGCCTGCCTGGTCTACATAGTGAGTTCCAGGCCATAAATAAATAAATAAATAAATAAATAAATAAATAAAACCGAACTAAACAAACTAAAAAGAATTAATCTGTTTGAAAAGGTCTTTGTAGACCATCATAGGACACCTCCGACTGTACTCAGAAAAACAGAGCTGTTCTTAGACTAAGAATCTAGGGATGTAGTTTACATGACGACAGTGTTGTCTGGTGGGTGAATTTAGAAGCTGTGTGCTGATTAAAAACAACTGGCCACCGGAGGAAACAGAAGTCAGTATACTCAAACTGCCCCAGTGCTACAGAGGAGGATCAGTGAGCATGTTTGAATTGTTTGAACGTAGTTCTAGAGATAACAGGGTCTAGTGTCCTCCTGTCATTGGTATGGTATGTAATGAGTGAGAAATGATGTGTTGTGGTATATATAAGCATCTTAAGAACAAGGCATCCTGAAAGGTAAGATGTTTATTGATTTCATAGAAATTGTATTCTATTGTTGTCTCTCTTTTTTTCGCTTTAAATTAAATGTATGCTTCTAGAATACTCTTTTCTGTGTGATCCGTGCTGGCATTTTTATTTTTTTTTAACTTTTACAAAAACTTTATTGAGAAATTCACACATGCACATAAGTTGTTTTGATCAAATCCATGTCCACTCCCTCCCCTCCAACACCTCCCATATCTACCATCACTTTTTTCTTTTCTTTTTTTATTCTTCTTTCATTTATTTATTTTTATGGGCTTTTGGGTACTCTAACATTCCTCCCTCTGAAGACATAACGCTAAAATCTTTTAAGGATTAGATACAAGCACCCAAATACTCTTGACATTTTTGGCCTTTGGAACAGAGTATGTTGCTAACAGGCCCAAGGACATTTTGACTTTTAGCCAAGAAACTGGCTGCTTTTCTTTGGGGTCTTTTTACCCTAACTGCCTAACCAATTCCTACCTTCCATTCTTGTCACGCCATCCACTGAAGGGGTTATCCAAATTGCCAATAGGGAATAGGGATGCAGACAGCTCTGGCTTCAGCTCTGGCTTCTTCCGTGCTGAACAGGGATGCAGGGTGAGGCAATTGGAGTACCCCTTCAGTGGGTCTATCTAAAAGACTCCCAAATTGCATAACTCTTATCTCTAAGGGGAAAAGAAAGTCCTTGAATCATGAATAGGAGATGCAAAGGAGAAGTAAAGGCAAGAGTAATTAGCATTACAAGTTCTATCCAGAAAACTAGAAAAAAGTCAGAACATGGCACTTTTCAAATGTTCATATGAGAGTCCATTGGAATTTCTTGACAAGGGCTTCCAAAAGCATCCCTCTATTGGGTTCTTCCTCATTTTTTTTTTTTTTTTTTTTTTTGTCTTCCAAGGCTGGACTCTAGAGTGATAGATTCAGGATTTGCTTTCAGGTATTTTGATAGCTGTTGGAGTAGTTAAAATCAGTGTCAGTTCCCTCTCAAAGGCTTCTAAATAGGGGGAGAAAACAAATTTATCCATCATTTTAGAACAATAGCGGGTTGTCTCCCTTAGCTACAGGTGGGCACTACAGTATTGGAGATCAAGATTTGAAGTCTTAAATCTGAGCAGCACTTTCTGGTTAGGAACAAAATCATCTATGAGAAATAATTGTCTAAATAACTTTTTTTTAATGTGTGTATGTGTATTGCCTGCATGTAGGTCAGTGCACCCATGTTGTGCAATGCCCACGGAGGTCAGAAGATGCTGTCGGATGCCCTGGGACTTTTTATATAGACTTAAGCTTAATTTCTGGGAAGTGTAATCCCTTGAACTCTTAATGAAGTATACTGATGACTTTACTCTTTGGTTATACTTTCCTTTTGATTGTTTAAGACCATACAGTTGGCCCAAATAAATCAATTTATTTTTACACTTAAGGTTATTTGAGGATCTGTTCCTCTGGGGTTACATGGCCTTGGAAGGAGTCCCTGGCTCCTTTCTTTTACCAGTTCCATCTATGTGAAGATAAGTCAAAGGTCCTGTTCGACCATGTTTGGTTTCACTTTAAAGCATGAATCAAATGTTTCCTCTAAGTCAACCCTCCTCTTTGTAGACTGAACTCTGGTTGAAGTCCATATCGTGGGGTCTCCATGTCCTCCCTGAACACAAGAGGACAGGTGACTCATCACATTTACAGGACATTTTGAGAGATGTTCCACAGTCCCCTGGAACTTGGTCGACCTGTGAGGACAAGGAGCAAAAACTGTTCTTTAAATCCCTTTGACCACATTAGTGTAGGCCTTAAAGTATGGCTGTTAAACATCCAATAGGGTTAGTTCCACCAGTCTGGTACTTTTAATTATTATGTGCTATGTAGATAAGGCTTAGGTAAAGAACCAAATATTCTCAGATAAACATTGACTAGATTTATATTTTGTTCCTTAAACTAGTTGACTAAACTATGACCATAGAAATTTTAAAATTATGTGTATATTATTTTTGTCTCATCCTTTATATATCATAACAAACCTAAACAGACCTTTATCACTTGCTTAGGCTTTCTCTCATTTTTTCTATTTTGGAAAATATCTCCATTCCCATATCCTTTTAACATCCTTTACATTCTCATTTTCTTTTTTTTTAAAAATAGTTATGAGACATAACAGCATTAACAAATTTTCCATCTGTTGTGAGACTTCTTTTCCTAAGTATGTTAAGCAATGCTTATTCCCTTTTAAGGTTCTAGTGTCAAGCCAATGTTTGATTAAAGTTTTCCTGGGGAACCAATGAATTTATTGAGCTTACCTAGATAACTGAGGGGGTGCTGAGGTATATGTATGACCTGAGGGTATGCACACTGGATAGCCTTTACTCAGCATGGGTCATGCCTTCTCTTCCTAGCCTTCTGCAGATTGTATACTTTAGCCCTCCCCAAATCCAGGAGGTCATGTGTGACCCTGTTCTTTCTTAAAACATTCATTTCTGGGGAAAGATCAGCTATTCCTAAAATGTCTATAAACATTTTTTATGTTTTTGATTTATTTATTTTAATTTTATGTGTTTCAATGTTTTGCCTGAATGCCTATAAGTGCACCAATGTCACACAGAGGTCAGAGAAGGGCATTGGATCCCCTGGAACTGGAGTTTCAGTTGATTGTTACCTGCCATGCATATGCTGGGACCTGAACCCCGGTCCTTTGCAAGAGAAGCCAGTGCTCTTAACCGCTGAGCCATCTCTCTAATCCCTACCAATATTTTTGACAAACACAGGGTAATAAACTGGTATACACAGTAAACATTTCATTTACTCTCTTCTGTAAGATTGCAATACACTACTAACAAGCAGTATGCAAACAATTTGAAAGATAGGTGATGTTTTTTAATTCTTTTGTCTGTGGTATTAAGTATCAAACTTGGAGTCTTATACAAGCTAGACAAACAGTCTACCACTGAGCCAAATCCTCAACTCTCCTAACTGTACATGGGCCCTATGATTCTCATGTTTTCCCTCTGTACACATATAGCTGCAATAAATTTAAGTTATAAATGAGACACAGAGATTAGAATTAGTGACAAACACTAAAATAAGATAATTATAACTATACTACAATAAGTTATTTTTGATTTTTTCCCCATTTATGTTACACTGTGCAGTGAAGTGAAGTGAAACTTCAAATAGGAGGGGACCCACACATTCACAGCGCAATGCACCTTTCACCATCCCCAGAACGTTCCATCTTTCCTAAGTAAAATCCTGTGCCAATTAAACACTAACTCCCCATTCTCCGTCCCTGGTCTCTGACAGCCACCAGTTTCTGCCACTGTGAATATGACTAGAGTAAGTAGATCATGTCAGTGGAACCACATTTTATCCTTCTGTTAACACATACTTAGGACCATAAATTTGCTACCTCTGCAGTTTCCCTGTATTCTAAAAGAAATTAGAAAATAAAAATTGGTGAAGGAAAATGGATTTCTTTACTGCTTGCCTCAAGGGAGAGTCTAATTTCCCTCCCACCAGGCCTGTGGAAATCTTAAAATTTCTAGAAAGCTGTGAGACAAAAGCTAGGCCATACACAATTTAGGTGTGAGGCAGGTTCACAGATCTCCTGGGAAGGAAGGAGATCTGGCCCAGTTGCTGAGCCATTGTTTCTGTTCTGTATTCATAATATATATACATATATATATATATAATATATATATATTCCAGGAGAGAAAGGGGGGTTAAAAGATCTCTCATTTTTGGAGAAAACAGTCTCAGGGTTTTGAGACATGGTGAAGATCTTCAGCCATTCTGGGCCTGGGGGAGGTCTTTGTCCCTAGGTCCATTTCTGTGATAGGCATAGGGTAGGTATGCTTATATGGTTTCTTTGAAGGCCAGCATCAAGCTGGCTCCTGTATACCTGTTAAAGACATTCCTTTTGCAAGTGAAAAATAGGTGATGGCCTAGTTGATGGAGAGTGCGGCAGAGGCATCTCCTTTTACGTGCTTTCTTTTCCCTCACCATGGAGTTAGCATGCCATCCTGTGTGTGCTTTTCTACTTTTTCTCTTATCTTAATGTCTGTGGGTCTTTCAATAGCCATTTTAAACCTAATATTCTATTGCTTGGTATATCATATTTTGTTTAACCACTCATCCATCACTAAGCACTCGGGTCACTTTGTTTTACTCTTGTGAATACACCAGTATGAACACTGGTGTACAGGCACATGGCCGAGCGCCTGCCTTCAGTATTCTGTGTATGTATTTAGAAGTAGAATTGCTGGATCATATGGCAATTCTGTGTTTGTTTTTGAGAAACTTCAATGCTGGTTCCCACAATAAACTAACAGCTTATTTAAAAATCTTAACCATTATATTCTTTCATGCCGTTTACTTACTATTTTTCCCCGTTCTAAAGTTTTAATTTTTTCTCTTGAAATGTGGTTCTCAAAACCAGAAATCAGCTCAAGCCTTTTGTGACCTATCATGGAGTGTGATTTCTCTATATACGTGTCATCTTCTCTCACACAGTCTTTGTTCTTCTGTTTGAAAGAACTATTATTTTATATGATTTTGAAATAAAAATTTCCCCATCTTCCACTCACATTCCACACTTAAGTTCATTTTTTGTAAACTCTGTACTTCAAAATTTTATTATTAATATTATTATTATTATTATTATTAGTGTGTGTGTGTGTGTGTGTGTGTGTACATGGCATTTTTTTTGTGTGTGTGTGTGTGTGTGTGTGTGTGTGTGTGTGTGTGTGTACATGGGTACCATGGTACACATGTGGAAGTCAGAGGACAACTTTGAAGAATTGGTTCTCTCCTTCCACCATGAGATTCTGGGATCAAACTCAGGTCATCAGGCTTTTGTGGGAAGTGCTTTTACCTACTGAGCCATCTTGCGGGCCCTCAGTTAGATTCTTAATGCCAGGCACTAATAACCCTTCTACCTACATAACTCAAATAGTAGTCCATGGTACACATGTGGAAGTCAGAGGACAACTTTGAAGAATTGGTTCTCTCCTTCCACCATGAGATTCTGGGATCAAACTCAGGTCATCAGGCTTTTGTGGGAAGTGCTTTTACCTACTGAGCCATCTTGCGGGCCCTCAGTTAGATTCTTAATGCCAGGCACTAATAACCCTTCTACCTACATAACTCAAATAGTAGTTATAACACAGATAATTGTGAGGCGTGGTGGTGCACGCCTTTAGTCCCAGCACTCAGGAGGCAGAGGCAGGCAGATCTCTGTGAGTTCAAGGCCAGCCTGGTCTACAGAGTAAGTTCCAGGTCAGCTGGAGCTACAGGAAGACCCTGTCTCAAAAAAAGACCAAATAAATAAATAAATAAACAAACAGATAATTAACTCAATCTTTATAAACACCATCCTTTACATAAGAATGCATGCAGGCAAGTGTGTGTGTGTGTGTGTGTGTGTGTGTGTGTGTGTGTGTGTTCTTTTAAGAAAAAAAAAGTCCCCCTGCTAAAATACTAGTTTTCTTGTTAGTTTCTTGCTAATTTCCATACAATTTTTAGAGGAGCCATATTGGATGGTAGAACATAATTTAACTTCATTAGAAATTAAGGGATTCTGATTTCAAAACACTGCCTTATGGATTCATTAAGGCTAAACTGAAATTAAAATTATCACATAGGTTTTGGGACCTTAAATTTCTAGGGATAAACTTGTTTGTAGCTCTGAAGAGCAAGTACTGTCAAATGCTGGCTGCCACCACCATCTGTAAAATGGTTATTCTCACTGTGACTGGACTCTCTGCCAGCACTGTGCAGTAGACTCTGACACTACAGCATGATTTGGGTTATTTGGCTAATACCTTCTTTCTTCCTAACATGATGGAACTCGAGCCTGCTTAGCATTTGACTCCAGCTGCAGGAACGACCCTTCTGTTAGAAGATGCTGCCCCAGTGCCCTCATCTCCCATTAACCCTAGGGCTGTGAATCAAAACAGGAGACTTGGAGGGACAACCAAGAACTTGTCTTTGACTTTGAACCCATAAACTCATTAGTGTAAAATTTAACTTAGAACTTAAGATTAAAATCGAACATGTCCATTTTGCTCTTTTATAGTTAATAAATTTGAAGTGAACTGTCTTATAACACTTTTCTATAACTTGGTGGGAGTTGAAACAGAGCGGCCAGGAGTAGTCATTGGACTGGATCGTAATGCCTTTAGGAATATCCTGCACGTGACCTTTGGAATGACAGATGACATGATTATGGACAGAGGTAAGAGATACAGGAATTCCAACTCCAGCCACAATTGGAAAAAAAGTCTGGAGTTTGCTCATATTCTTGGGAGTAATCTCAGTGTTCTACACTCTCAATTTCATGGGAAAATAAAATTTTAATCTTCCAAGGATCATGGAGAAAGAAGCAATATTATTTTGAGTGTTTATAAAGGGGACAAAGTCATGTTGAGTAACTGGGCTTCTCTTAATTTATATAAAAAGCCCCAAATATTTCTACTTAGAAAACATACTAAATAGAACAGTCTTAGAATGACATTTACATTTCCTTACATCCTAGAAAATAGCACAGTTAAGATGCAATCCCATCATGTAACACTATTGCTTGCCCTGAGAAACAAAAAATTGTTATTTTGTATTAAGATGCTCTTATATCTAATATGAATAGAATATTTTATATATCAACATATTAACATTAGTAATTAATATTAATACATATATCTATATATTCAGAACATTATTTGTTCCCACAACGCACGAAAAGAAAATTGAATATGTTATTAGAAGGGTTTCTGAGGTTTTGGTATCTCAGTTTTTCTGTCAAATGAGACCATCAGACCAAGGGTCTGCTGTGAATTTCAAAGGGAAGCAATCCTAAACTTGATGGTTATTGAGGACTAAAACATAGTGCGAACATTATATTCTGTCTCTCTTTTTAGTATTCCGGGGTTTTGATAGAGACAATGATGGCTGTGTGAATGTTTCAGAGTGGATTCATGGATTATCACTGTTTCTTCGAGGGACTCTCGATGAAAAAATGAAATGTAAGCCTGCAAGCTATGCATCAGCTTGTGTACTATGATTAATGGTGCTAAAACATTTAAATCACCATCTTCCAGCCAACCACTGAAGTGGGTCTTACTTGATTAGTCCGTGGGTTGAGTGGTTGGGTAGTTGATTTGAATCCTCATTCGTCTTTTTTACAGCGTGCCTTTAAGTCAGTAACGAATTAAAGTACATTAATTAAAGCCAAGCAACTCTGAGGACTGTCATAGAAGGAGGCCACACAGGCATGACTGTAGAGTCTCATTTAAACACTAAGTATTTTATATTACTTGAATTGTAAACATTAAACCAGAGAACACTGATTCAAATGTTCTTATTCTTAAATAATGCTCAACTGATTCTAATGAAGTTTGTTGACCAGCCAATCACTTTTCCATGTTTAGAGTTAGAAATGTTTCCGGTAACATATCCAGGTATGCACTTTCATAGCTGAGTAAAGAAACATTTAGGAAAGGCTGGGACTAGTTCCATAGTGTACACTATCATTTCCATCAAAGTCAGTTGACACCCAGCTCAAAGTCAGATGAGCATCAAGATGTACCTCCACCCTGAAAAGTTAGAGAAAGGTCACCTCAGTGATGGTCTCAAGTTCATAATTTCTTTTTAGATTGCTTTGAAGTGTTTGATTTGAATGGTGATGGCTTCATTTCAAAGGAGGAGATGTTCCACATGCTGAAGAACAGCCTTCTCAAGCAGCCCTCAGAAGAGGACCCTGATGAAGGAATTAAAGACCTGGTTGAAATAACGCTTAAGAAAATGGTAATCATGAGTAAAGCAGAGTTTTACATCGAAACTCATAGGCAACATATAGGCTGGGAATAGAAGTCAAACCACAATTTTCAGTGTCTTGTTTAGTAATAAAAGACACAAATCCTTGTGTGGTGGCACACACCGTTAGTCCTGGCACTCAGGAGGCAGAGGCAGGCATATCTCTGTGAGATCAAGGGCAGCTGGAGCTACAGGAAGACCCTGCCTGAAAAGCAAAACAAAAGACTTGAATTATGTTCACTATTATGATATTCACTTTTCTTTGGGGCTGTAGGTGTAGCTCACGCTCAGCATCCACACATACATCCACCCCACACAAAAGTTCTTTTCCCAGACTAATCTCTCATCTTTCTAGCACCTTTTTCCTATTAACACCTGACTGTGAAAAGAGTCTGTATTTGCAGCAAGTGTCATGTGTTGATAACCCAGGCTGCTCATCCTTCAGGACCATGACCATGACGGGAAGCTGTCCTTTTCGGACTATGAGACAACTGTGAGGGAAGAGACTCTCTTGCTGGAAGCCTTTGGGCCATGCCTGCCTGATCCGAAGGTAACGATATTGCTTGTGCTGAAACAAAATATAAGGGGCAACCATTCCAGGACTTGTTGGTTTGGCACATAGAGGACCAGAGGACTCACATTCATGATGGAGAACTGCTACGTATAGGAGGGCCCCACAGAAGACCTGACAGTTCACCTAGTGGTGCTATTCTTGCCCAGTGTTGTATTTTTTCACTCAACTCACACATTCATGTTAGAAAGAATTAATACGACTTAATGTGTGCCAGGAGCCCAGATGAAAGGCTGCACTAGAGGGCAAAAAAAAAAAACCCCAAAACAAAAAACAAACAAATAAAAAAACCACCATAAAAATCATTACGCAACAGCATAAGTATTATATTGTTGTAATAACATTTAATGACTTGCATGGTGCTTCCTTTGTACTGGGTAACGTCATAAGTATGCTGCCTCATGTCACCTAGTTTATAGATGAGGGAATGAACGCAAAGAATGGAGGCAATTTATCAAAGCTCACTCACCAGTTCCTGGAGATTGAGTACGGTGATAGGTGGGAAAAGAAATAGCTACACCATCCAAACCACTGGGGAGGCCTGAGCCCATCGGGGAGGTTTGTCCAAAGAGCCAGGTTTCAAAGGAAAAATAGCCAGGTAAAAATGAAAAAATAATCTAAGCAAAGAGAATGACATATGTCAAAAGAGATGGAAGGAGGAAAAAGGGAGGGAGCGAAGGAAGGAAGGGGAGACATATAGCGTGCCTTGAGGAGAAGCTGGAGATGAACAGCAGGTGCCAGAACATCCTTAGGCTACAGCCTGGGTTTGTCTGGAAGGTAAAAAGGTTGCGTGGCAAGATTTAAGCAGGGAAGTAATGGAAGTTGTAAATATTTCCATCCCCTGAACTCTAGTTTATATCTCCAGCTGCTGACTCAGAGGTCCTCAGAAACTTCCTGGTTTCCTCCAAAACTTGCCTCTCTCCTGTGTTTCCTGGGTCATTAAATGGTTCCTTGTTTCAGCAGCTTTTCAGAGACCTGGGAATCATGTTTGATTTATCCTAATAGTCTGAGCTACTCCTCCAGAATATAGCCTTGAACGTGACCTCTTCTCCCATACCAGTAGATACCATTATGAATAATTCCCTAGTATGAATAATTAGTTTTCTTATTCCCATTTTTGTTCCCTACGTCTTTTTCCTGCAACATCCACTATGTCACACCCCCCTTTACTCACACACCCAGTGGGATCTGATGTGGATACTGTGTCCTGTCTCTCCGACCCAGTACATCTCCTCTTCTCTCACATCCCCAAGCCATTGCAACTGCACCAGCTGACTCTCTGCCTTTCCCTTCCAGCTTTTCCACATCTGTCATTTCCTTCCCACCTCTCCACATTCCGAGACTTTTCCAGAGTCCTTTCTCAGTCTCTTGCCTCAGGGCCTCACTAAATCCAGTCTCACTGAACTTACTTTCTCACATGGCCTCATCCTGCTCCGCCCCTTAACTGTTCCTCCCAAAGCTTCTCTGTGCCCAATCTTGCTCCTTTTCTTTGTCTTATTTCCTAGACAATATCTGTTTACTTGTCAACATGTCACCTGTCTTACCATTTTGATGCAATGTGATCAAGAGCAGGATTCTTTTTCCACTCTATTCCCTCACACTTTATGTGTTCAGTGCACAGAGCAGATGACTAGAAAACACAGATGGATGGAGGGAGAGGTGGGGGGAAACGTATGGAAGTGGGGATGGATCATCTCAGAGGAGCCCAGTGGAATGCTCTGGGTCTGCCTCCCTCTTCCTGCTCGGGAACTGCTTTATCATGCCCTTTTACCTTCCCAATAGCCTCAGCCTCTTCCATGGCTGGTAAAACCTTCCTGTCAGGTTGTTAAAGTCTTTAAAATTTTTCCCATCTAAAAACAATACAGGCACTGGAGAGATTGCTCAATGGTTAAGATGTGCACTGCTCTTGCAGATTACTGTAGTTCAGTTCTCTACCTCCATCACTGGCTCACAACTTCTTGCAAGGCCAGCTCCAAGGACATCTGACATCTCCAGCCTCTAGGCACCAGCTCTTGTATGCACACACCTACATACAAGCACACATTCATATACATAATTAAAATTTTAAAAATCTTCTAAAAAACAAAACAAAAAGGCAAGGAGGGAAAGGGTGGAGGGAGAGGGAGAGCAAGCATGACTTCACAGCACCTTTTGCTTGGATGGCCAAGTGTCTTGAGAAAATTGTCCAGATTTAGAACAGGCACTACTAACGTGTCTCTCCTCATCCCGTGATCCTAAGAGAAGCTGCTGTTGCTGGGTTCACCCCCACCCCAGTTAATAAATCACACGAATGTCCTTGGGTCCTTGACTGTACCTAGTCCCCCCTCCTGGATGCCCAGAGACCACTGTTCCCCACTGCAGCACTACACCATGACTCTGCTCCCAGTTCCTGGCCTCCACTGAGTTGAAGGCCACTGGAAAGCAAGTCAAAACTATATGAAGGTCAGTTCTTGAAGCCGTCTTCCCTGTGACCATCTCTCCACAGACATTAGTGAGAAATACAGTGTTTTATTTTGTTCTGCCACCTTTGGAAGTCTGTATTAAGTGAGTACTTTTATCTTACAGAGCCAGATGGAATTTGAAGCCCAAGTATTCAAAGATCCAAATGACTTCAATGATTTTTGAATTCCTAATGTATTGAGTTAGCACAGAAGGAGACACGCACAGTTCATTTGCTCTACTCAGAAGATGATGCTGAAGTGTGTGTTTGGGAGTGAGGTGCTGTTCACTTACATGTATCACTAGTGTAGGACACAAGTAAAACTCGTGGCAGACAAGCAGCTCCTCATAGATTTAGCAAAAGAGGTTTGTGTTGTCACAGGTATTTTATCATGTGAACTATCTGTTGAAGCACATACCTTTCACAAAACCTCCAGATTAAGCAAAAGAATGGACAAATTATAAGTCATCAATTTTAGATACAAATAGTCTTAATGACAGAAAGATTTGGAGAATACATTGAAAAATTACTGAAACTACTGAGTTTCCTTCATGGCAATAAATAATGAAGATGGTACCACAGGGATAATAGCACTGGCAATTAGTATGAAACTCTCCTCATTAGGAGAGACTCAGAGAGATGAAATGCACAAGAGGCCTGGATGCTTTTTCTATTATGAGAGGATTTGCCTCACCAGCCATACCAGCTCACAAGCATCTAATGGCAAGCATTTTACACACACACACACACACACTCACATACACCCCTTCATCTCTACCATAGCAGTTAGTATTCTGCACATTTTGGGCCCTCAATAAATACTGTGGAGTAGATTAAAAACTGAAAAGCAGCACACATAAATAACCTTTGTCCATGAGCAAAGAGAGAAAAACCTGTTCTGTTCTATGGGCCGAGTTAACCTCCGGAGGCAATCCTGATCCTTGACCTCTGCATTGCAGTCAGATGCCCGACTTGGCTCTGGTTCCCATTGTCACTCCACCCTAACCTCGCTGGAGTCTCATTGCCCCTCCTGGATGCATTACAGTGTCCTAGTCCCACCCTGCCTGGATTCCCAGGGTAGAGACACCCATTATCTTTTTTTTTTTTTTTTTTTTTTTTTTTGGTCTTTTGAGACAGGGTCTCTCTGTAGCCCCAGCTGTCCTGGAACTAACTATGTAGACCAGGCTGGCCTTGAACTCACAGAGATCCACCTGCCTCTGCCTCCCGAGTGCTGGGATTAAGGGTGTGTGCTACCACGCCCGGCAAGACACCATTATCAGGGATCCCATCATAGTGTGTGTCCTAACTGTGCCCACCAGCTGTGACATCCTGAAGACTCCAGCAGGTACTGTGATCACCCTGTCCCTGTGAGAAAGAGCCCTCCTGTGGCCTTTGTTAGCTACCTTCTACCTCCTTAGTACTCACAGGAGACCAACTGAGAGAGTTAGGATATAGCACTTAATCCTGACATATACAGGCAAATCTCTTCCCTTACTACATTATTATGTTTAAGCAAAGGTTATACTATATACAAAAACTGACTTACTAATAAATGGAATAGGCACTTCTGTAAAATAAACTGTTATAACCTAGATGGGCTTTGATGCAATTTTTCTATCTACAATAGGTAGAAATAATAGAACACACAATGAATTTTTATTTCCATCTTCATTTGGGGAAGAGTTGACTGAAATGATAGATATTTAAGGTATATATAATGTATACGTACACAGTGAAATAATTATCACATCGAGCTAATTAACATGTCCATCACCACACATAGTTATTTTCTCTTTTTGGGGTGCATTCTGCCCTCGTGGAAAGTTTCAAGTACTTAAGAGCTATGGTCACATTATGACTCATGGTGAATAACTGAAATTTAGCGTGCCTTAACTAACACCTCCCCCCACCCAGCCACTGGCACCCAGCACCCCACTTTCTCCTTCTGTGAGTTTCTTTGCTTTAGAGGCACATAAAAATGAGATTCTAGTGCTGCTTGGACATAGAAGTTTCCAACCCATGTGGGTAAATACCAAAAGATGAAATTGCCATATCATACAACAAGAATATGCCTTAGTTTTGTTAGAAACTGCCAAACTGACTTCCACTAGCAATTAATAAGAATTCCTGGTGAACTTGGAATCTTCATCAGCATTTGGGTGTCATCAGTGCTCCCAATTTTAGTTGATTTTAGAGTATATGCTGTGAGATCTCATTATTCTTTCAAATTTCACTTCCCTAATGACATACCCTGTTGAAGCACAATACTTTTATGTTCAGCTTCCAATCTAAAATTAAATTTATTTGTATAATCAACCATTACTATCATGCATAAAGTTATGCCTGAAAACTGGAATTCTGTGATGGAGTTTCTTGTTCATGCTTCTGTACGTGTAGCAGCTTACAAACGGTCGTTAAAGTTACCACGTTTCTAAAATGATATCTGGCAGCACTCATTTTCTCCTGCAGGAAGCACTTTGTTCATGATGTCATTCACCTCTGCTGTCACAAATGACGTAATATCCCTTTTTAAATACTGAATAAGATTCCATTGCAAAATGGATATGAAGGGGTGCTACAGATGTCTCAGTGGTTAAGAGCACTGGCTCCTCTTGCATAGCTCTCAGGTTTGGTTCCCAGCACCCACATGGTGGCTAACAACCATATGTAACTCCTGTTCTAGGGAACCTAAGGCCCTCTTCTAACCATCACAGGGACTGCACACGTGATGCACGTATATACATTGAAGCAAAACACACACATAAAACAGAAGTTAATAAATAACCATGAATGATGCAGAAATGAATGTAGGGTGCAAGTGTCTCTCTGTGGTATAGATTCAGGTCCCTTTGGACATAAACCTAGAATGAATGCTAAACTATGTGACAGCTGTATTTTCAATTTGTGATACTCTTCTTCACACTGACAGTGGTATGTGAGTATTCTTTTTCCACAAATCACCAGCACGTGCTATACTCTGTCTTTCTGACAATAGCCATCATGACTGCGGTTATAGTGCGATAGCTCTTATGGTCTAGATTTGCACTTCCCTGAAGTTAGGTGACACTGAGCATTTTTTATATACCTGAGAAGTCTTTTGCTCAGTTTTTATTGCACCTTGGGAGTGGGTTTACGGCGCTACAGGTCAATGTGGCAGCTCTTTCTACAGCTCTTTCTGCAGCTCTTTCTAGTGGTGGGCACAAGAATTTGCCCAGCCCATCAGCTGAGGTCACTGTTGGCAGGGAACTACAGGATCCACAGTCAGCAAAGTGGTGTCACAGCTGTGACAAGGGCTGCTACGTCCTCAGTGGGGAAGTCCAGGTCATTTTCTCCCACTGAGAGAGATCACACACAGCAAGAGGAGCCCCAACAGCAAACTGAGCCCTATCACCTGCCTGCACCAGCCTTGGGTTTGTGCCTGGATGGCTTGTGCTCTTCTTCACCGTTCTCCAAATTCCCCCGGAGCTGCTCTGTGTCACTGCTGAATTGCTGCTTTGGTGGGGAGTAAAGGCTGACATCTCCTTGTTCATCACCTTGCTGATATGCTTCTTCAATTTGCATTTTAATTTGATTTTTTCAGAGTAATTGAGGTTCACTGAGAGGTATTTCAGAAGCTTAAGAAGCTAAAAAGATAAAAATTAAAACACTGATTAATATTCTGGTGGATCTCTTCAAGCTTTTAGAGGCATTTCTAAGTTCACCTTTCCACACTTGGTGGTTTTGCATCTTCACAAACTGCTCTTTAATGTGCTGTTGCTTCTTGAACATTTTTTAGGTCATTCAGGTTTGTCCCCAGCCTGGGTTGTCACTCCTCCCATGTCCCAGTGCCACAGACAGTGGTAGACAGACTACAGGCATTTCAGTTACTTGAGTGCTTTTCAACTGTAATGACTAACAGTGGACGTCCTTCATCATCTCACCTGCCTCATCACTGACTCTCAGAGTCAGTTTGGAAAGTGGACTTGCAGGACTGAAGCTGTGCCTGGTTCTGTGGTTCCAGCCGTGCTAAGCTGGGAAAACACCAGTGCCTTCACTGGCCAGAGCGGTCTTTCCATTTCCTCACCAAGGCCATGAATCCTTATGTGTGTGATTTTGTTTGATCACTGTAGACACTCTGCACCTAAACTTTCATTGTAGGTTGACTGTATATTGACTTACATGTGAATAACCCTCATTAGTTAGCATTATTTAAGTCTAAAAAACAACGGCGGTGCATGCCTTTAATCCCAGCACTTGGGAGGCAGAGGCAGAGGCAGGTGAAATCTCCATGAGTTCGAAACCAGCCTGGTCTACATAACAAGTTCCAGGCCAGCTAGAACAGGGTTACAGCCAGGGTTACAGAGAGATACCCTGTCTCAAAAAGACCAAAAAAAAAAAAGAACCGAAATGCTGTCATTGCAGCTTCTGGTGATATTGGCCTATGACTTGAAGGGCAGACAAGCTTTGTGTAAGAGTTTCCCAGTATGCACGGGAATATGCCCTCTCTCTCACCATCACCATGAGAACAAAACTTTTCCTTCAGTTACTATATCCAGATCATAGGATTCTTTTAACTTTATTGCTATGGCAACCCAATTACTTGGTACCCTGCCTATCTGAGCACAGAAAGACCAGCTTACTCCCCTCAGGGCTGTCCTCTCCCTGTGGCTCAGCTTGAGCTGACTTACCACAGAAGCAAAGCCTGCTTACAGCCCAGTCACCCGACTGCCCTGATGGTTGAGCTGGGACTTATGGACAAGCAGTTACAATTGGATTACAAATAGAGTGGGGTGTCATTCTTCCTTGGACTCCCAAAGTCTTGGCCTTCCCTTCTTTGCTCTGTTCTCCAGAACCAGTGAAGAGTGGCCCTGGGCTCCTCCAGAATTGGTACACGTCACCCTCACACGGCACAGAGAATCTGTTTGGGAAACAATCAAGTACCTTTTTTGATACCTCAGATTTGAAAACCACCCCTGAAAACTGGTAGCCCTGCATTCTTACCCACAAATATCTCTGTGTGCAAGACTGCACTTGTAAGAAAGCAGGCCTGCAATTGCTCACACCATAAAATCATCCAACGTGCTCTGTGTTCCCACTCTGTCTGATACAGTGAGGGTTAATGTGGTCTAAGTTAGTTGCCTAAACCTCTCATCCTTCGTGTAAATGAGGATTTCACACCAGGCTCTGTCTGTGTCATCACCCCTCTCCTCTAACACATGGGAGTAGAGTAAAAGTTGAAGCAGGACAGTTGATAAGGGGAATTAAAACCAAACATAAAAACAGGCATGTAAACTAATTCTCTGAACTGTTTTTAGAGTTCTCCACATTTCTACATTCCGTACCTGGTCTTAGTGGGCCCATTTCCTTATGAAACATCCAGAGCCAGAGCAAATGGTCAATCCCACCAAGTATAGCCAACAGAGATTTGGGAATTCCTTAAAACTCTAAAAGATCTAGAGGTTGAACCTACGGGTGTATTATTTGTAATTTATCAAATCGTGAGCCTGAATGTATTTGGAAACTTAACTTCTGGTGTCCAGGTGCCTTCCCTGTTGAGAGTGAGGCAAGTGGTCGCTGGAAGGATAGTCCAGCCTGGTTACCACTCAGCTCAAGCCAAATGCACAGCAAACAAACTGAAGCTCCCTTCTCACAAGGTGATCCCAGGGAAACTTGCTCAGTTTCACAGGACAGGGAAAAAAAGGGAATCTGAACACGGGCTGTCCTCAGGAAATCAAGAGTGTATTCCCACCGGAAGGCTTTGGCAAGGGTGGCATCACTCTAGGGCAACAGTGACTCCTCACAGCTCCATCCTCAGTAATCTGTGGCTTTCTGTGCACCTCTTGCCTCCTACCTAGTTTGTCAAGAAAATATTCCTCTCCCTGGACACACACCCTCTTGTTTATTTGTACTTCCCTCCTGCCTGCTCAGTTCCACACTGCTCCTATTATGCACCCCAGTCAGGCCCACAGAGCCCCCTGGGGTGGAGGCTTGTCAGCTTAATGAGAATTTGAATAAATTGAGTGAAGTTTAGGTCCTCTTCCTGTTAGGCTGAACTGCAGCTTCCTATCTTCTGTCCACATCTCCCAGTCTTGGTGCAGATGAGGGATCCTGAGGCCACTGCACCACCTGGAAGTTGAG